CTTTCACCTGCTGAGTAGGTGGGCAGCACATGTCGATTATTAATGCCCCCCTCACCTCTAAGCTCTTCCATCTCCATCTCTCTTCTATATTGTCCGGAACTACAGCCATCATTTCAGAATACTTATAGGCGATTGTTCTTCTTGTGTATCATGGAAGAACTCGACAAGAACGCCAGTCCGACCTCCGGGCTGCCCCTTGCTTTTCACGGCACGGTAATTCATTCCCGGAGTTTGGATGAGCTTGAGATCCTAGAGAATTGCATTGTGATTGTGGGAACAGATGGCAAGATTCAAGCATTACAAGGAAATGTAGAAATGGATCAAATCAACTCCATTGTCTCAGAAAATGGCTATGTGCCCGACGTCTTCCCAGTGAAATATCTCAAGCGTGGGGAATTCCTGTGCCCCGGCTTTGTTGATACCCACAACCATGCACCCCAGTGGGCACAGCGTGGTGTCGGAAGAGGGATTTCCTTGCTCGACTGGTTGAATAAGGTCACTTTTGCCCATGAGGCCAAATTTCAAGATCCGGAATATGCCAAACGCATGTATGCCTCTTGTGTGACGGGATTTCTGCAGCAGGGCATTACCACCGCATCATATTACGGCTCACATCATGGACAGGCAACGCGGATTTTGGCTGATGTCTGCTTCGAAAAAGGACAGCGCGCTCTCGTGGGCAAGTGTAACATGAACCGAAATGCCCCGGACTGGTATCGGGATCCGTCGGTGTCCGACTCACTACACGAAACACGTGAGCTCATTCACCATGTTCAGAAACTTGATCCGGAATATCATCTGGTGAAACCAATACTGACGCCACGCTTTGCGATATCGTGTGAGCCGGAACTACTGGATGGGATTGGTGCCATCGCCCGTGAACATCCCGATCTCCCAATACAAACACATTTCAATGAAGCAAAGCAGGAGATCGAGTTCACGCGTCAGCTCTTCCCAGAATTTGACACGGAAGCTGATCTCTACCAGCGATATGGTTTGTTGAATGGTCGATCCATTCTTGCCCACTGTATCTTTCTACAAGAAGGAGAGATGCGTCGCATCCAAGAGCTTGGCTGTGGGGTTGCCCACTGCCCCATCGCCAACACCACCATGCAAGATTTCATGGTAGCACCTGTACGAGAGTATCTGCGCCGCGGTATCAAAGTGGGCCTGGGCACTGATAGTGGTGGTGGCTACTCGTCATCCATACTGGATGCCATGAAACAGGCCTTCATTGTGTCGAATGCGCAGCAGATGTTGACACAAGGACGGGACCCTGCGCTTTCTTTGAACGAAGGCTTCTTTCTCGCTACCATGGGCGGCGCGCAAGTGTGTGGTCTCGATGACCGAGTCGGTAACTTTGCAGTTGGCAAAGAGTTCGATGCGCTCGAGGTTCATACCACCGATCTTGACCAACCGGGAGTGATAAGCCCGGTCGAAGATGAAGATACTATCCAGGTGATATTTGAGAAGTTTTTGATGACTGGGGATGATCGGAATATTTTCAAAGTCTATGTGAGTGGTCGGTCGGTCAAGGTTTGATGGTCAGTTTTAGTTTATGAGAAATGAGAAACGATATATGAGAATAAACGCCAACCCCCCCTCATAGCCCAGTTCGTGGAGGTATCCAAAAGATCAACTCATGTATGCCCACCCTACCGTATATTATACAAGGAGCAACGTGCACCCAGCACTTAAGTTACAGCAATGGATGGAGGCGCCGAAATGAAGTCGTGATTAAGTGTTCCTGATCACTCCCAAGTTCCCTTCGGAGGGCCAAAGTATCCACGCGCTGGTAAGCCCATGTAGGGCGTGCCTTTGCCGTCGGCTGTGGTTTTCGACACAGTATTTCCCCACCAGCTCAACGAACCGGCTGGGAGAGTTATGCAAAAAAAGATGATTACCGTCGCGACTGCAACACTGCAATCTAGAGCGGCGGACAACACATAATCTGCCGACGATCAGCAAAAGAAGCAACAACGAAGGAAAAACGATGAACATACTGTATTTCGACCACCACGCGGGCTTGCGGCGACGAAGCACGCCATTAAATATCAAGTTGACTATCCACCATGAGGAGAAGCTGATACCTGTAGCAGGTGGAACTTGGCTCATTGCACCGAAAGCGACGGGCCAGGAGACGTAATTGGCAGATTTCCAACGACGACCTAGAAGATAAGTAATGACTACCACGGCGGGTCCGACCAAGAAAAACCAAAGCAGATTGCTATATATCTGCCCGGAAGAAAATAATCGGCCGGGACCAACAGCACCTGAAAGGGTTAGTTAGCTATACGATTGCGGAACATTGACAATACAATGGAACCCACCCCAAATGAGAGATGAAGAGTATGTGACCTTTCCATGAGGGCAGATGAAATTCCCGTCGGCCTCGAGGGTACACACGCCCTCAATTCTGGTGATCATGAACACTGTCACACCACATTGAACGATAGCTCCGATGAGTGTGGCCAGGCCTTGGGCTACAAACAGAAGCCGTGGGGCAATGTGCATATAATGAGCCAACTTCATATCGGCGACAAATCTGATGTGGTGTTAATCCATGTGAAAACTTGTTTTGGAACAGTGTGTAACTCACTCGAGTCCTTGCTGAACAGCGACATAGCCATAGAATTTGAAAGCCATGTTGGCCACTGGCTGCCCAAGGAACGCATATCCGCCAATGAACTCCGTGAGCAGGTTCAGTTGGTTACTGCTGATATTCGTGAGAGCTTTGATGACTCCTACAGGGATAAAGTAGACCACTGGTAACACGAATGCCACAAGCACACCCCATGCCGGTAGGCCCGTATGCCACACCTCGTTGGTCACAATACTCAACACAAACATCAGAACAGTGACTGCAGCAAACCACGACCAGGGCACGGCTCGATATGAAGACATCAGTCGACTATGGACGTCTTGTTTGCTGGTGCCCTTCCATTGCCGCCACAAGTCTTTGCCATGATACAACGCGATGTGGAAGAAGATGCCCGTTAGGTTAGCAAAGGCAACACCGAACGTAATTGCATAGCCAGCCGGTAAAAACATGGGCGAATAGTTTCGATAAGCAGAATGATCGATACTCCCGCCCGTGCCCATGATACGACTGGTGTTGTAAGGAATTCCAGTATTATCGAAGGTGTTGGAGTTGAGCAGCGGCAGATGTGCCGAATACCAGGTGTTGGTGTAGTAAACGAGGGGGCACACGAGCCAGAAGAAGAGCGCAAATGATCCCATCACATTAAGTCCAGCCCAGAGCGGAACAAGCAGGGGGCTCTGATTGGCATAGACCACCTGGGCCCAGTCGAAGGTCAATACCGACATCCCTAGTCCGGTGGTTTGTCCAAAGAGCTGATTCACCACCACATCGGATGGCACGACCCAGCAGATGAAGGCGAAGGTGCTGAGACCTGTAAAGAGATATCCCGGGACGAAGTACCAGATGGCGCCACCGATGAAAACATAAAGAAAGAAGCGAAGACGTGTGATCCGCCAGCCATCTGCGATAACATTGGAGTGAGAGTGGAGGGTGGTTAAAAGTGCTGCATTTGACAACACCTGCGGCCAAAGCATCGAAGCGGGACCAACTAGCCAGCGCGAGGCCATGCCGGCCAAGCCAAAGCCAAACAATTGCGTGGTAATGCACAATAAAACTTCAAATCCACCCTGCGATGGCATGTTATAGAACTTGACAAGCGCTTCAATAACTTGAGTGGCAGCAGCAGAGCCAATCGAGACGTTCGCCATGATTGTGATCAAGGCATGCTCCTTGATATTGAAATGCCGGTCGGGATTCATCACCCCGAGGGGTATCCATCTGGCCCAGGCGCATCCTAGAGGAAAAGCCAGCAATTGCGCCACTAGAGCACTGATAGTCACACTGGGCTGTCGTAAGCTGAAGAACTGGTTCAGTCCACTACCGACCTGTGCTGGTTAATATTATCTTGCCGATGGTTCGGTCGCATATAATTGCGGAGCGAAGCGAAGCAATAATATAAGACGTACGATAGTAAACAATATACCAATAGTCCACGTGCGGACCGTGCTGACAGGCAGCGTCAAGTCATTGACTGGCCGGATAACAGCCCGCACCTCTGGGAAGGGCGAATCATTGGCTTCATAGGGTAAGATCTTCTCGGCATCCCGATCATGAAGAATGACAATTTCATCTTGATGGGAAGGGGCGTTCTGAGATATGAAACAGTTAATTAAACCATATAACTATGTGGGGGAGGAGTCAATCAACGGGCACTCACCTGACTCTTCTCAGTCCACTCCATCATGAACCCAGGTCCTCCGCATGAGCCCCTAGATTTTTCCCCTAGAGCAAGAACGGAAAGCACACCAAACCCCAGTTTAGTGTTTGAGTCGGCTTGAGCCGAATGTTAGACCGACTGGGTACCGATGACTGCATGAAGTGTCTCCAAATACGGAGTACTTCGTACAGGGATGTTCACGGGTGAGCTAACAAAATAGCCAATAGAGAATGGGTATTGGGGCATCGATCACATCACTTCCTCCCTGGATTCGGTTCTATTGGATGGGGACTGGGGGTCGTATGGGTAAAATGGATATAGTACAACATATATATGGAGGAAGGGGAAAAAAGGGATTGACGGGAGGATGCGACGTCGGAAGAGGCCGTTATAGACCCCACTTTATTATTGCCGAAGTAAGATATAGCTTCGAATTTGTGTGAATTTGTGTGAATTAATTCAACTAATTGGATTAATTCAATCGATCAAAATTTAAATATACAAAGTAGTAAACTAGTAAGTAGCAAACCCACGTTGAAGGCTTAAAAGTTCGAACCCCTAAAATGGTTGAGGGTTGATTTTTCCCCTTTTCCCTTGTTTTCGGGCGATTTGAAGAGTATACACATATTTATTTACTATTTACTCGAATCCACCCTTAAATCTTTGATTCGATTGCCTAAAAGGCTGGTTAAGTCCCACCGGGAACTTACGTAGGACCTTGCCTCCGCTACATACCTCACAATGGATGAATGCGACCATCTTGATACTGATGAGGTGCCCTTTCCTCAAAGACCCATTGTAATCCTCGGTGCGGGGATCATTGGCTGTGCGACAGCCCGGCAATTACTGCTGAATGGATTCCCCGTGATATTGGTGGCCGAATATCTACCAGGAGACCAGAATATTTACTATGCATCGGCTTGGGCAGGAGCGGCGTGGCATGCTGCGGGAGGTATTACTCCCGATCAACGATACCTTCAAGCTGTCACACATCGCATCCTACTCAAGATGGCACAAGATGGACCCGAGGCAGGGGTGAGCATTGTCAACGCACGAGAATACCTCGAACAGAAACCTGCCCCTGACTCCGCGATATGGGGTAAGACGGTGGTCGCCAAGGCACGTTGTCCTCCATGTGATTCCCGCTGGATTGATATTGACATTACCTGTATTGTTTAGTTCCGAAAGATATGTCCTGGTGAATACCCTCCCAATTTCCACTGTGCCTGGACCTATGAGACGCTTGTTACAGATCCCACGAGGCATATGCCTTATCTTAAGAAACAGGTTGAGTCCCTTGGGGGTCATTTTATCCGCCAACGTGTCGAGTCTCTTCAGGAGCTGTATGATATCTTCCCCGAATCACGGGTGTTTATCAATGCGAGCGGTTGGGGCAGTAAAACCCTGACGGATGTGCAGGATGATAATTGTTTCCCGGAGCGAGGGCAGAATGTGTTTCTGGCCACTGATCAATGCCACACACTCTACTTGCGAAATGGCAAGGAATATACTTATGTGATCCCCCGGCCTCTGTCTAACGGCGTGATCCTCGGTGGAGTGAAACAACAAGGTAACCTGTATGAGAATGCCCAAACTCTGGATAACTCTCTTAAAGCTAACCTCTCTAGGTCACCTGAAGTCGATATGGATATCGCATGGGATGAGATTGCACGCGCGCATCGGTTAGCTCCTGAAATTGTTCCCGAACAGCCAGCCGCAGATAAAGTGAGTTACATTATTGGAATCCGACCCTCCCGAAAAGGAGGGTTCCGTCTCGAGTCGGAGCGAAAGGGCAACCGGGTGGTGTTGTCAGCCTATGGGTTTGGGGGTGGCGGGTTTGCCTTTTCATATGGGATTGCCGATGCGTTGGTCAAGATGGTGGAGAGGGTTGAGCGTGAAAATGTGATCTAGAAGAGTCTCTTTAATCATGTTCTGTGCAGATAACTCCGTACATGTGTTGTATGTGTTGTATGTGTTGAATATGTCGTCCTGAGGTCGAGTTATCGCCGTTCCAAGGTTGCCCCTCATTGTATATTGCGTATGTGTGCTCCCCCTCGACCGCCTGCCCGTCTCCGCCATCTCCCTGCTCCTTCTGGTTTGGCGCCCTCACCCTCTCCCCGTTTTGGTTTAGCTCCGTCCCTGGCCGCTTTTACCGCCCCGGCTATCTGCCATCCATAACAACCGCTCACCCTTCCCCTCCCTCGACTTGTCGACGTAGTTTCCCTTCTCTTTCGTTCTCTACCCCCTTTCTCGCACCTACCGTCGCCTACGTATTGGCTTTCAGCTCGACGCACTGCCCCTTTTATTTTACCGGAGATGCCGCTCGATCCGACGCCCAGCTCGTTCTCGCCCCTGGAATGGCGCAGTCGCCTAGGAGCAGAATCGCTGGGATGATCCAGCCCGCAGCCGCATTGTGTGATTTCGTGTCGATACTCCTACTTCCTCCCAAAGAAAGTGACTGTCCATCATGCTACGAAGCTATCTAGGTCTCCTCTGATAGTGTGCATTGCTCGTCTCTGGGCCCGCCGGCCTCCTTCGTTATCTGCAATGCGCCGGTATACCTTCGATGGCGCATGCCCCTCTCCGTCCGCCCATCTGAGGTTACATCGCACAGCCCCCGGCGTCAGAGAACGGCTCGGTTGCCTGGTCACGAATACCGTGGCACCCAGTTGTCGTCACTATCGGCCTCCGGTTCCTCCGCACCCAGTCGATAAATCCTCGAAAGGGCAGCCCAGTGATATTGGCCAATAGCGAATATACCACACATTCTACTGGTCTTAGTTGAGGCCGCATCGCGCGGCCAATGCTAGACTACGACTACGAAACCATACTATACTCACAGCGTCACCTATCGAATGGAGAATGAGAGAATGGGTTGATGACTAGTGTGGGCATGGTAAGGGTCATCCGCTTGTTACCGGTCAACTATATCCCGTGGTTGTGAGCTGTGAAACTGGCATGGTCTCTTGCACCCTTACCTAGGCCAGATGCGTCCCCGCGATTTTGGGCTCCCGCGAGGGAAGATCCCGGCTTGCGTGACGTTCTTAATGGATTTGATATCGAAAGGTGGGGTGGGTAGCTATGATACAAAACGGCCGGGTCATGCACGAGGCAGACCTGGACATCTGTCGCGACTTGGGGCTCCGAAACGGAAATGTTACCGATGTGCCTCAAAGCTAGCGCACGTATTTTGCTACTGGTATGCCGGCCTGCTTATTAAAAAGAATTTTGGATCGTGTCTATCATATGACAAATAGGCAGAATTCTGTGTTCTTTCTCAATTGGTATCAAGTGCTTAAAGCACAAATCGTCCTACCTAAGACAGCTAAATTTAATAACTCGGATGATGTGTCCTCGCCCTAGCCTCGAGAAGTGAAGTTTTACAGTCAATCAGAATACAAGTTCGGAATCTAAAAACGGATTTTGTTAGGCTTTACTTAGCCTGTATTATTTGCTTCGCTCTGCTTATATTGATCAGCGGAAACAAAAATTTAAAAGAGGGAAAAAAAAAAGAAAACCTCTGGCGGGGGTCGAACCCGCAACCTTGCGATGACATATGATGTTTGATAGCTGTGATATTTGTTAGCATTAGGTACTTTAATAGGGGGTTTCGGAGTAACTAACAAGTCGCATGCGCTAAACCAATTGCGCCACAGAGGCTAATGGTTTTATCGAGAGATGCGAAATGGATAAACTTGATCCAAAGATTAAAACAGTTAATTTTTATGTCAATGAAACGGGATGACAAGCTCAAGTTCGACTTTTGGGTTCACATATATTCCACAAATTACGCACCCCGATGAACGGAATGCTCTTGGCTTTGACAATGCTACTGAGGACCGAGTTGACTAATGACTAGCGAGAATTCGGGTGCATCCTTGAAGCCTCAACTTCGATCTTGCTACAAGTCATTAATGATGTGCTACATTATTCTAAGCTATCGTCGGGAACCTTTCCCTTAAACCCAGACGTTATCAGCATCCCCAACGTGATTTCTGCTGTGGTTCGGAATTGTCAGTCGGCGCTCAAGCCTGGTGTCCAAATCATGGGCACTGTTAGCGAAGGATTTCCTCCAAACCTAAAGGTGACCCGCTGCGATTCCGCCAAGTTCTGCAAAATATGCTCACCAACGTAGTCAAGTTCACCGAGATTGGTTATGTTCGAGTTCATGATGCTTATACTATCGACGAAAAGGATCCTGATATGTATGTGATCTCCACGCAGGTAGTGGATACTGGTATTGGCGTACCTGAAGATGTCATAGGCACCCTCCTCACCCCTTTCACGCGATTCGCGGACACGGCCGTAAAAAGATACTAGGGTATTGGCCTTGGTCTGTCGATATGTAAGAGCCTGGCTGGATTGATGGACGGAACGGTTGGATCCTATGCCAACCCCGACGATCCTGGTAGTGTGTTCTGGATGACAGCTAGGATGGCTCGCCTCACTTCGCTAGTGTCTCCAGTGAAATCGAAGTTGCAACCGGGTACAATTAAGGCGTTGGACAGTTCCGCCTCGCTCTAGAATATCGCTCCACACAATAACATTCTTCTAGTCGAAGACAACAAGGTCAACCAACTTATTATGTTGAAGGGGGGCTTTTAGCATCAAATGATAACGTGAACCCTTTTCATTATGATTCGACAGAGACATTTCTTTCAAGAAATACTCTCTCCACACTTCAACCAGACAGCCTTCGACGTCTAGTGGCTTAAGCCCTCTATCATGCGATGGTTGCATTTTCATCGCCTGGTTGCGAGTCAATCCTTCAGGGGTAGTTTTCTCCCGAGGTACAACCCCAATGATCTTTTTACTTTCGCCTGAGATTATTATGTCTGTACTTTCGAGGCAGCCCTTGGTTATCTCGGACTGTAATTGCTGAGATCCCGTTCGGATGTTCGCAACCAATGGACTCTGGACTCCGACGGACGACAAAGATACATGTTTCGAAATGTGTTCAAATTCGTTGACTTGATGGGTTGTAACGACGCCATTTTTCGAAAAGTCGCCGCTGAACGCAATCCCATTAGGGAAGAGTCATACTCTCCGTGTTAATGATCTTTACATTGGACCCCGTGTGACCTGCCTTAACCTTCCGAGGGGGTTCGATTGGGTTTATCTTGTTAGATGAATGGCCCCGAGCAACTTCACCCCAATGTCCAACACTTAGCGAGATACTCACTGGCTAAGACAAAGTTAATGAGCAGCAGGATAAGCCCTGTTCTTACGCTGTTTAATTTCCCGGGGTCTTAGCGTCATTTGATCGACTGGCTGTCTTTCCTCTTGGGTGATCTCAGTCCCATTGAATTGATGGTGAACAACCCTGAAAGCCCCGTACAGGCCCACCTTACACAAGAGGGGATATACTATAAATTATACCTTGTCCGCCGTTGGTCCTTTTGAATTGATTCGCAACTCTGAAGCAGGAAGCTGAATTGGCAAACTCTTGCTAAATATTATCGACATGAAATCCTTCATAATGATTTGTGCCCTGGTGGCTAGTGCGATGGCAGTGCCAACGGCTCATACTTATCAAGTACACGAGCGTCGTGATTTCATTCCAAGATCTTGGATTGAAGGCAAGAAGCTCGACGGAAATGTGTCACTACCTGTGCGAATCGGGTTGACCCAGTCTAACCTAGACTATGGCCATGAGCTACTTATGGATTTGTATGAACTTGCGCCACGCCATCGATCCCCCGCCGTCTGAAACTGACGTGGACTATTTAGATCTAACCCATCCTCGAGCCGCTATGGACAGTATTTGTCCACCGATGAAGTGCACGACCTGTTTGCCCCGAATGAAAAGAGCGTGAATGATGTGCGTTCTTGGCTGGAGTCGGCTGGTATTGCAAAAGACCGCATCACGCAGTCGACCAACAAGCAATGGATCCAGTTTGACGCCGATGCTGAGGAGCTCGAGAATTTGCTGCACACAAAGTACTATGTCTACTCACATGCTGAAACGGGCCGATCGCACGTGGCCTGTCGCGAGTAAGGCTGTCATTGGGAATGGGCCTACAGTGTCGCTGACCTCTGACCATAGGTATCATCTCCCGAACTCTGTACGTGAGCACGTCGACTATATCACTCCTGGGATCTCTCTGCGGGAGGTGACTAGTGTCCGGAGATCGACCGATAAGCAGAAACGCTTTGTGGGTAGAATTCCACCTATCCTTGAGCCGATCTCCCTACCACTTGAGAAGCTGTTGAGCGAGACTTTGTCCTTTTGTTCCCAAGCAATTACGCCCCAATGTATTCAACGTAAGTGACTCAGGTACAGATGCCCACACGCTGAATATCCTGACAAGCCTTCAGAGATGTATAACATCAGCAAGGGCCACTCTGCCACAAAAGGAAATGAATTGGGAATCTTCGAAGGCATCGGGGATGTCTACGCCCAGGAAGATTTAGATTTGTTCTTCTCCAACTTGTACTCGTATGTCGCCTTCAATCCTATTTCGTCGAGTTGATTCAAGTTCGAACTGACTTTCCTATAGGGAAATCCCACACGGCACACACCCAACTCTCAAGTCAGTTGATGGTGGCCAGGCCCCTGCACATGTTTCCAATGCTGGGGCTGAATCCGACCTGGACTTCCAAATCTCCTACCCGATTATCTGGCCACAGAACTCCATCCTTTTCCAAACCGATGATATGCATTACGAGAATCATTACACATTCCGTGGCTTCCTCAACACTTTCTTGGATGCCATTGACGGCTCGTATTGCAGTACCATCTCGCCTTTGGACCCCTCGTACCCCGATCTGGCAGCCGGAGGATACAAGGGCTCCCTGCAATGTGGCGTGTACGACCCACCCAAGGTCATCTCTATTTCTTATGGCTCCGCCGAAGCAGACCTTCCCATTTCCTATCAGCGGCGACAATGTGCTGAGTTTATGAAGCTGGGCACAATGGGGGTTTCAGTGGTGGTCGCGTCGGGTGATTCCGGTGTGGCTGGACGTGGAGGCGATCCCACCCCCAGCAACTGTCTTGGGCCAAATGGTAGAATCTTTGCTCCAGATTTCCCTGCCTCCTGTCCATACCTGACTGCGGTGGGAGGTACTGAAATCCCCACGGGTTCCTCGCCAGGAGATCATAAAGAGCAAGCTGTGACTAGGTTCCCGTCAGGCGGCGGTTTCAGTAACATTTACAAGGCGCCTGATTATCAGGCCCAGGCTGTTGCCGATTACTTTGACAAGGCTAAGCCCTCATACCCATATTATGAGAGTGTGGACAACAGCAGCTTCGGTGAGAATAACGGTATCTACAACCGGATCGGACGTGCGTATCCGGATGTTTCTGCTGTTGGCGACAAGGTCGTCATCTATAACAGAGGAACGGCCGTGTCAATTGGTGGGACATCGGCCTCTGCACCTGTCTTTGCTGGAATCCTCACTCGCATCAACGAGGAGCGACTGGCCATTGGCAAGTCCACTGTTGGCTTTGTCAACCCCGTATTGTACGCTCACCCGGAGGCGTTCTTTGACGTGACCAAGGGCACAAATGCAGGTTGCAATACTGATGGCTTCTCCGCGGCCGAGGGTTGGGATCCAGTGACTGGAATGGGTACCCCTAATTATCCGGAACTTTTGAGGGTTTTTATGGGCCAGTAGAGTAGTTTTAATTGTAGGGGAGATCTTCTTGCTTTTGTGGACACATCTAAGAACAATGAAGATTGGGAATTCCAATACAATTTGAGACAAGTTCTGTCAGAAAGTATGAAAAAACCGTGATGGTGACACCTCAGCACACGGAGCTATGCCTAACGATGTGTCTTATAGCACAGCCAATTGCTAGTTAATACAATATATGTTGTATATGTTGTATGCAAAAGAATAAAATCCTGGTTTTACATCCAGAATGACATCATAAATTAAATTACCCCGCGGGGGTGTTAGGGGGGTTCAATGTTGGAGACTCCCGAGGTCTTTATATATAACTACATACATCTCTGCCCAGGTATAAGTAGTAGTTTTATATATATAGTATAGATATAGTATGCTTGTAGTATGTAGTAGGCAAGCTACATCGTATATATATCCAGAGAATACGACAATAAGCTATGGATTGGAAATAAATGAATCTCTAAATCTACTGGTGTTTACCTCGGTAGAGTCTACTCCGAGAGGAGAGGGGGCGATGGACAATCCCCTCCCCCCGCCGGAGAATAGAACAGAGAGTTAAACCATCTCTTCCTCTTTCCTCATTCCTCATTCCCTTTTCTCTTCCAAATTATTCTTTAATCTCTGAATAACATCATGTCTCTCGGCAAGAAAGTCACTCTCAACTCCGGCCACCAGATCCCGTGTGTATACTCTGCAAGAGATATTGAAAGACTACATCACTGACCGACCCCCACATTCAGTCAGTTGGGCTTTGGTACTTGGCAGTCTGCCCCTGGACAGGTCGGCGAGGCCGTTTATGAAGCCCTCAAGGCTGGTTACCGCCACCTGGTATGTACATTTACATCTATCATTCTTCACACTATTCGCTAACCTCCCCGACCCCCTCTCAGGATTTGGCAACTATGTATGCAGCATCAATCCCTTTAATCGGAAAAGTCCGCACATTACAATTGCGATATACTTACCACTTGTTCACAGCTACCAGAACCAGCGTGAGGTCGCGGAGGGTATCAAACGTGCTTATAAAGATGTTCCCGGTCTGAAGCGCGAGGATCTCTTTATTGTAAGTTTAATCCATTCTTGGGAGGTCACACAATTTCAGCAACTGACATGTCATTCTACAGACCTCCAAGCTGTGGAACAGGTACGATGTCCTAAACTACACCGTTACACTAAAAAGTTATTGACTCTCCATGTAGCCAGCACCGCCCGGAGGTTGTCGAGGCCTCTTTGGATGCTTGTCTTGCTGAGCTGGAGTTGGATTACCTCGACGTATGATTATTCCATCCAGTGACTCCTGTGAGCTATTACTGACAGACCAAGCTTTACCTTGTTCACTGGCCTGTTGCCTTCCAGAAGGGTGATTCCTACTTCCCACTCGTTGCCAACAGCACTGTCGAGGGTGGTGACGTGATCATTGACGATGGTGTCTCTATTGTGGACACCTGGAAGGGTAAGCAGATATCTTGTGCGAATAAAAAAAAATCAGACATAGCTAACTCCTCTCAGCTATGACCCAGCTTCCCAAGAGCAAGGCCCGCTCCGTCGGCGTCTCCAACCACAAGATTGAGCATGTTCGTTTTCTCCCTGCGCCAGAACTCGCCATATATTAGCTAATACACTCTTGTAGCTCGAGGCTCTCATTAAAGGCACCGGTGTTGTCCCTGCCGCCAACCAGATCGAGCGTCACCCCGTGCTCCAGAGCAATGACCTGATTGAATACTGTCAACAGAAGGGAATTCACATCACCGCCTACTCTGTGCGTATCTATCCCCGCCCCCCTCTTTTTTGATTGATGGCAGAGAAACTGAATGTGCTAATCCAATCTCTAGGCATTTGGTAACAACATGCTCGATATTCCCCTGCTCATCACCCGCCCCGAGGTCAAGGAAGTTGCCGAATCTGTTGCAAAGCGCACTGGCCAGGAGGTCAGCCCCGCACACGTTATGTACGATTATACTGGTCTTTTCTGTGGTATTGTGTCGTGAAAGCTAATAGTCTTCAAGTCTCGCTTGGTCCCAGGTCGGCGGACACAGTGTCATCCCCAAGTCGATTACGCCTTCGCGCATTCGTGACAACTTCAAGGAGGTAGAACTCACACCCGAGGAGGTTAAGAAGGTCAGCGTTCTGGGTCAGAACCGGAAGCGTTATAACGCTCCTTACGCTGCCAACAAGCCTCGTTGGAACATTGATATCTTCGGCGAGCCCGAGGAGAAGGCCGCTGATCACAAGGTCATTCTGAGTGTTTAATTTCGCTGATGGCCCCAGGCTACCACTGGTTGAATGAGATATAGATATCGGTGTGTTCTATAGAGTGAGTGTCAACAGGATTGTACTAGTGCCGATATATCTAGATAACATGCTCAATAATGGACCGATCAAGATCAACTGGCCATAACATATAAATACCTTGACCTAAGCCCGTGAAATGCCTGACTTCTGAGATATTCACCATGTGTTGCTAGACCTCGAGTTCTAGCATAGGCCGTCCCTGTTGACTGCGTTCCTAATAGAGTGATCATAAAGTGGGCTCGCGGTAGTAATGTATGGCTCAAATGCGAGAACCCCAAAAGACCATACAAGCCCAGGTAGATATAGAATTGACTCACTTGGCCGTAAAAAGTTGCCTTCTTTGAAATTTGGAAACGAAGGGAAGAATCATTATTACACGTTGCATTTGACAAAATGGTCCCAAGGGTATATATGTATAACTGCAAAAGGCTGACTGTCATGTCGCCTGTGCCATCTCATGGCCGTTCATTCATGGCCAAAACCATCTCTGCTCATCAATTCATAAAGAATCGGCTTAGTTCGCGTGTATAGGTCGTTGATGAGAGCCGAAGACTGGTCCTGCGTCCAACTCGTGATATTCACGGACTGGAGTGGATCCATTCGGGATCTCGTAGACTGAGCGACCATCCAATAATATCGCGGATCCCACTGGCTTTCGGGGCAAGAGAGTCTGCGGTTCTTCTGAACGTGATGATTCTTCCTGAGGTGAGATACCGCCTTGAGAAGTGATGGCCTTTTCATCATGCCCCACGACAGTTGATAGGGTTGATGAAGGTGGAATAGTTGATTGGACGCCTCTAGTTCTCTGTCTCTGGCGCCGCCGCCGAAGCACAAACCACAGAAGCAACACAATGAGAAGGACACCCACAATGACACCTACTGCAATTCCGCCCTTGGCTCCTGGGCTCAGGCCAGACGAACCACTAGAGCAAACATAGCCATTTCTGAAGACTCTGTTGGATTTCAAGCTATCCAATGTACTGCATAACCTGGCGCTGCTGCCTGTGATTGTTGTCTGACCTTTAACTTCATCAAGAGAAGGTAGCGACACGCTGGCATATTCATCAGTATCCTAGAAGCTGAGGAGTTGATGACTGTTGCAATGATCATACCTGTCGAATGATCCCGCCAATTCCAACTGTCCTTCAACCTTTTCCAAATCTTGGAAACCCAGTGCTTTCAGGTTCGGATTCCCCGTGATGGTTATACTGGAAGAAACCTCTGATAGCGCGCCCATGGTTAAGGTTGTGAGTGAGTTGAGGTTACTCAGTGTGATACCTCCCTGCACACTGTCCAAATCAGGGGCAAAAAGACCGGTGAGTTCTGAGGCACCCTCGGCAATTAATGCGCCCTTGATTTCCTCGATATTATTGATGGTGATCACTCCGCTGGTAGAAGGGGATATTGTAATGCTTCCATCAAGTGTGTCGCAGTTCCTCAGCTTGTCCGCATCGCTTTGACTTGAGATGATCACACTGCTTGAACCTATAGGGAATGAGCCACACGGTTGGCAAGACAAACAAGCAATACATTTTACTTACAAGCATCAGAATCAGCGACCGCTCTTTGCCATGCACTGGCAATCGCCAGAAAGTAGATTACAATCATCCGTATGGGGAGGTCTGCTAAGCCCCAGTTTTACTTATTTGACACAACAAACCCTGAATTATTTTGCGTGAAGGCACCGGGAATTCGCAGTTTTAAGGTCAATAATATGGAGGGAGGCGGAGTCGAAAATTTCCGGCCTTGGCCGATCGTACTTTGTATCTCAATTGCAGACTGCCGATCGTCGCGGTCTGTTTATTGTTGATTGGTCAACTTTAGATGTTTTGGTTGGGGGATCCATCTCCGAAATCCGTGGCCCACTGACGGATCGATCTGTTGTTTGTTGTTTGTTGTATGCAATTTTCATTCCAGACACAGATCGGGAGACCGGATGCGCGAGTCCAGTTTTCCCCAAATCATTCTCTACCTGCCCTGAATTAATCCTCGCTGAATATACCACCGAAGCCGTGTTGCTATTTTTGTGTATGGAGTAACTATGTAATGTAGTATTGCAACCCTTGTTCGGCTATTCCACATGGAGTAGTAGTGTTGAATGGGGGATAGGCAACAGAATTGGCAGCTCTTGGCGGCTCGGTCTGGTTCAAAATGCCCTTATGGACTGACATCACTGAAAGTCCGGAGGTATGAAGAGAGAAAGAATTTCATTATTTCATTTAGAAGAATCCATGGATGTTGTAGTATCAAAATCTTTTTTGAAGAAGTCGATTTTATGCCTGTCGGGTCCTTCCCCAAAGTCCCAAGGCTTTGGTACCGAGGAGTGGCAAACCATGGAAGTCGAAAACTTTCTTGGAACTTCCCAAAAAATGATGACTCAGCATATGCGGGGAACCCGTCCCCGGTATCATGTTCGGAGGTTCAACACAGATGAATCTCGATAAAGAGCCACCTTGAGCTGATATCTCTATGAGAGTAGGCAAGGGCTGTGGAAGGTGTCGTCATCGACATATTCGATGTGTGATTCCCACCGGTGCATCAACTTGCACTCCATGTTTGCGACTTGGTCGGGCGTGTCATCTTGATCCCCGCTTCCAGTTCAAGCCTGTTCACCACGTTTACCAGAAAAGTAATGGTGCTACTGCTCGATTCGAACTGGATTGGGATAAAGAGCAAGTTTGGGTGGACGTGTCACAGCCAGGTAGGAGTCTAGAGCCTATTATTTTGATCATGTACTGATCTTATCTAGTGACATTCGTCCTTGAGGCGAATGAGGAATCGGCTGGAGACGACCGTAGTGCTGTAGAACAATGCAACACGCCAGCCCTAGAATCGGTTGGGGATGAACATGGTGCTTTGGAACAATATACTCCAGCATCAGACCCGGTATCAAATGGTCGCAGTGTATGGACTCAAGATTTTCAATCGGAGAACACATATCACGCTCAAGCTCGCAGCCCAGTTTATGAGAGTCGACCTCACCAGGACATTACGAACAGTCCAATCAGCCTCGTGTCAGACAATGGCTCTACACTGACACTAAGAGAGGCCTCACTGATCCGCTACTTCATCCAGAAACTAGCCCCCTGGGTGAGCTACAAGCGAGTCTCCCGTTACCGTTACATATCTGACCTTCATAGGCCGATGTTTGTGATATTAATTCACATTTCAGCACTGAAGTCCCAAGGCGGGCATTGGGGAATAACATGGTATTGCAAGCCATCCTAGCTCTGTCGGCGCGACATGATGCCATCTTGGCCAACGATAGTGACTGGGAGGCCTCGGCTTATCATGGTCAATGCTTGAAATTATTAATCGCAGCATTGGATAAAGCCGAGACAAATTGTGACGAGAACATGCTCATTGCGGTCGTGATTCTTCGCATATATGAGGAGCTGGAAACGAACTCCGACCAACAGTTTCACCTGCTTGGGTCCAATCGTTTGGTGAATCTTATGGCCCGCTCTGCGACCTCTGGAGGGGTTGCAGAGGCAGTCAGCTGGCAGTTCTTGCGACAAGCTATTTATGCATCGGTAGTACAGCATCAACCTTTACAACTCGACTTGCAGAATTACGAGCGCTCGTCAATGTTTCACTGCCACAATGATGCTGCTTGCGCTAATAGAATCATATATCATTGCGCTCGCATCCTACAACTATGCTGCGATGCGCCTGGACATATTGTGGCACAGGATACCTGGCGCCAAATATCGGACAGCGTGAACGAGTGGAATCACGCAAAGCCCACAACCTGGCAACCTATTAGGTACCAAGCATTAAGCGTGGCTGATGGTCGGCCTTTCCCAGTTATATGGATGATATCCCCGCCGGCAGGTATGTCTCCAGTCCCAATGACAATGAGACCTAAAGTTACTGACCGCAACTGAAGTGATTGGAATGCAGTATTATCACTCGGCCTGTATTTTCCTCACCTTGTCTGAATCTCCATCGCAAAGTATGAGCGATTATGAAAGGGCCCGTACAAGGCGTGTGCAGGAGGTAGCCAAACCGAAGCTCTGGGAAGCTATATTTGCAGGCTGATACAAATCCTAGAAAACGATTGCCGATCATCTTGTCATGGTTATCGGCTTGTCGCTGTCCAACGAAAGCGTAGAGAATGCCTATTTCATGGCATCACATTTATTACATCGCTGTTCGTGTGCGCTCCATATCCCTCGACTCTCTTGCCCGCTGACCTGTCCTTAGTTGGGTACTGTCTTCGGAATGTTGTCGAACAGGAAGGATCATTGCAATTTTTGAGTCAAGTGGAAAAAGGGCTAGGATGGCGCACTTCCTGGATAATGCGGGAGTTGGAGCATCAGTGGACTGAGTTGGCCGCGTTTGACTCGTCGAACCACTGAGAATTCCGAGTTATTTCCAACGGAAATATTGTTTAGTCCAAGCTTGGAATTGTAAACATTGTCCGAAGCCGCAGGAGAGAAAATATGCGTTTCACCGATACTCCAGTATAAGCCTAGATATATCCGTTATCTATTGACTGGAATCATCACCGTGAAAACGATCCAACTTGCTACAAGTGTACCGTGTCCAAAGAGGCTGGCTGGCCTCTTATAATCGAAGACACCCCGTCCGCTCTACCCAATGTAGGTGCAGAGTTGTTAAAACTCGAGGCATATTGTGTTTGCTTTTTGGATCACATTTCTGAGATGTACGGTATGGGCCGATCCTTGTATGTCTTTCTGACCATAGTCCCAGTACACAGTACCGTACTAACATCCGCTAGTCCAGTTGTGCCCGGTGGTGGGATTATTGGAGAAGTTGTCGCAGTGGCAGTCGGATATTCCGTCTCGTAGTGGAAGGTTGAGGGTCGAATCGGTGGGACATGGCATGGAGGTCAGGATGCTATATCAAATCGACTTGCCAGGTTGAAAGTAAATGGTTATAACTAACCTAAACTCAGGTACTTGCTTTTCGTACTGTCCCGAAATCCGAAGAAGAAATAGTGGTGAGATTTGGGGAGCACCTGAATGTATCTATCCCTCACCGTGATAACAGTACCTGATGGCACGTGTGATCTCGTTCTGGAAATCACTTTCGATTATAGCCAATATTTTCATTTTAGCCGGTAAGTCATAAGCCATAAGCCATATGCTATATTAATGAAAACATGGAACTAATGAACTAATGATAATGGAAAATAGTGCTTGGGGAGATGAATTTATTTTACCAGGGTCCTTAATGTAAGTATCTACTTAGTTACATGTAGCTTTCCCGAGGCTTGCGAGTCCATACGTGGCTCGAATGGTCATGCGATAGATTTGGAAGAGACTATCAAGTTCTCTGAGCCGGAACAAATCTGTATGGTCGAGAGATTTCCACCGATGTATATCACTTTGGGGCTACATTGGGCTTGTGCTAGGTTGTAGATCCTATAATTCAAAGGGCGGTAATGTTCCGTTCGAAGACTACTATGTGGACTCAAAAAGAACAAAGGAGTTCAGTGAGAACAGAGAAGTAGCTATAGATATCGTCTCTAGTGTTGAGCCTATTTGAGTAATTTACTGGACTCTCTTGTATGCCCACATGTTTGCATGTTTGATGCGTTGGCTTCTGCGCTTTCTGCCTTGGATATAAATATCTTCCACTTTCACCTTCACTTTCTGTTTCTCTTTCTCTTCTCTCCTCATCTCCGACCTTCTCTATTCTTCGTTCTCTTTCATCCTTTCTCAACATACAGTACCACACACTGTCAGCAATGGAGACTGAATCATGGGAAGTGCTTGTGCACAAGAAGCAACTTGAGGACGCTGCTAAAATTCCAACTGAATGGCGAATCCCGGAACAACTGACCCAGATATCCGAGACATCTGGGATGAATGTGTTAGGTGTTCCACGCCAGTCGGGAATTTTGTCGGCAAGACAACTCGAGATAACCGAGAAATATGATGCAACTGATCTGCTTGCCAAGATCCATTGTCAAGAGCTCTCTGCCTATGAGGTCACTGAAGCATTTTGCATTCGCGCTGCGATTGCACAGCAAGTGGTATGTGTTGAGATGATTGACATGATCCTTCAAAAGCTTAGCCACCGTCTTACAATGAATTCACAGACTCGATGCCTCACGGAGACTTTCTTTGACCGTGCCTTACAACGCGCGAAAGATTTGGATGAGATATTATCTAAAACAGGGACACCTGTTGGGCCGTTGCATGGGTTGCCCATCAGTTTCAAGGTACGACGACAACTTTGCACAACGAATTTGGGTTTACTGATGTCATATAAAGGATTGCTTCAACATTGATGGTGTTCCGTCCACGATTGGGTTTACTTCGTTTATCAAAAACGGCCCTGTGAATTCAACCTCTCCGGTAGTTCAGATTCTGCTTAACCTGGGAGCTGTCCCATATGTGAAGACAAATGTTCCCCAGACAATGATGGTGAGTGCTCTTACGATCCTAAACGTGTCACAATTACTCAAAGTACTTAGGCCGCTGATTCGCACAATTTCGTGTTCGGCCGGACCCTCAACCCCTATCGATCGAATCTTACCGCTGGTGGGTCGACTGGGGGAGAAGGGGCATTGATTGCCATGAGAGGATCGGTGCTGGGTGTTGGTACAGACATTGCTGGCTCCATTCGAATCCCAGCTATCTGCAACGGGATCTACGCATTGCGACCTTCCGCGGACCGCATTCCATATGGGGGCCAGACTAGCTCTGCTCGTGGAGGCTTGGCTGGGATCAAGGCTTGTGCAGGACCCTTGACAACATCAGTCAGAGATCTGGAGCTGTTCATGAGACTGGTGACTAATACAGACCCATGGCAATTGGATTCTTCGGCTTTGTTTTCGCCATGGCGCACCATTTCCCCCAAGTCCGCCCTGCGACTCGGGTTTATCGAGGAGGATCCCCATTTCCCTTTGCATCCACCGGTTCTGCGAACACTTACAAAAGCAACTGAAAAGCTCCAAGCGGCTGGAAATGAGATCATCCCCCTGAAGCCCCAGCTTATTCGAGATGCCTGTGCGCTGGCATTTCGTATGTACTCGATGGATCCAGCTCAGACTCCATTTAAGCACATTGCTGCCAGTGGGGAACCCATCATCCCTGCTTTGGCTTCGACATCTCTGCACCATAGCTACATGCCATATGGGTATGCCCCATTGACACTTGAAGGATTGTATGACCTCAACGAGGAGCGCAATTACATCAAGGAAGAGTTTCGCAATCTCGTTATCCAGGCAAAAGTCGACGCCATTATCATGCCCGGCTACCAAGGTACCGCTCAACCTCATGATCTGTTTGGCTTTGTGCCCTACACCGTCCTTTGGAACGTGATGGATGTAAGTTCATCTTCTTTAGTCTCACGGCGCTGAACTAACTTTTTTTTTTCTAAGTACCCGAGCTGCATCATTCCGCATGGGAAGGCGAATAAGAGCGCCGACAAGGCATTCATTCGGAGTGTGAACTACAAACCTCCCTGTAAGTGTTATATTTTCCACCCATCACCTATTATGATTGATGAATTTAATGCTGATTTGGAATTTGAGATGTGGCTGATGACATCGAGGGAGCACCGTGCTGTGTGCAGCTTGTTTGTAGGAACATGCACGACGAGGAATTGGTGAAAGTGGCGGAAATTGTGTCCAAGACACTGGAGCTTTGAACCTTTGAGCCAACGTGGGGCTGTTAGAATGGAGGTATTCTATGAATTTGACTTGGAATCTTTTGCTACAAACGCCAAATCGTACTCAATCGCCGTAAAAGTCGACACCAGGGGAGGGGAAACTGAAAAGAAGATCCGACAACGGACCTCGGGTTAACATATCAAGGTCCCACGTAGACGATAGCCAATGGAGAATTCCTTCAAACATCTTGTTCCTTGGCCATAGTAGCTTCGGGGTATTTGGCCGCGAGAATTTGTTGGAATGTCGCCACTTCATTCATCAAAACCCCGCAAATCAATTTTTCTGCATCAAGAGATTTCCACCAACGGGAGAAATAGCTCTATTCCCCCACATCGGAGTGCTATAACTTCAGATCAAAAGACGTCTTTTGTAAAAAATGATTCTGATCCCCCATGACTTAACGGGATTACATCCAGGGACACAACAATGGGAATGGGCTTGAAAGATACCGGAGTGGCTCTCCTCAGTATCCTATCTTATGTTCAGGCGTATCCTTCCAGTGCCTTCAAACACTTGCCAAAGTCCCCATTCTTTGTTCTTGCGGGTGACAGCACGACAGCTACCCAATCCTCGAACGGTGGAGGATGGGGAGACGGCTTTCTCAACAAAACTCTTTTTAAAGGAGCAGCCGGTCGCAATTTTGGCCACAACGGTGCAACTACCGTTAGCTTTCGAGATGGAGGTGATTGGGATGACGTTTTAACGACCGTGAGACAAGTTCGAGACGACTATCATCCATTTGTGACAATCCAATTTGGGCACAACGACCAAAAGCCAGCTGCGAACATTTCATTGTCACAATACACCAGCAATCTTGAGAAATTTGTGACTGAGGCTACTGATGCTGGGGCTACACCCATTCTCGTCACTCCTCTGTCTCGGCGCAACTACGATAACTCAACAGGGTCACTGCGTATCGTCATGAGTCTCGCCAATGAGACTATGGCCACCATCACTGCGGCCCATCGCTCCCATGCTGCCTACATTGACCTGAATGAAGCTAGTACCCAGTACCTCAATGCAATCGGGCCAGAAAATGCATTTACGTACAACCTCAACCCAGCGGACTATACACATCTGAACGTACCAGGGAGTGTTCTGTTCGGGGGAATTGTGGCCGAGCTGATTACCCACAGATTTGATGCCTTGAAAAAGCTTGGATATCTACGCTTGGACAGTAAACTTAAGAAGGATATTGACCATGGGATTTATTACTGGCCTTAACCCAGCCAAGGATTGGGATCGCAGAGAATCACTTATATACCAAGAATACAAGGCACCATTCCAATATCAAAGGCGCTTTTCTATGCCTGTAGTCATGTTGGTTCAAACCTAGACTAGAAGTAGGTCTCCACAGTCTCATGTTCACATCAATGTTGGTTGGGCAGTTCCCGTTGCAAGGCTCGTTACTACAGACCATTCCAGGATCCGTCGAAAAAAACCCAGGCAGCTGGGATGTTAGAGCCACCGTCTTTTGTACTATTCTGCACAATATCATTGTCGTTCTAGTTCGTCATGAGCTTCCTACCAAGACACCTGGATCTTTCGAGCTTCATAGTAAAAATATACATAGGTATCACATGTATGGGCGACTGTAGCGGAAAGAGCTGTAGATTATACTGTGGGGTTGTGGGGTTGTGGAGTTGTGAACCTGATGGAGCATCTGCTATGATTCAATTGGGGAAACAATGCATGCAGATTCGTATATCAAAGTGGACAGAGAGAGAGAATGAGAAGAAGGAAGAGAGAAGCTAGTTATTTAGTTATGTTGTAGTACTGTCTCATGTAGGGCTAGATGCCTCAGGCACCAAGGCATCCAACAGGACCTCTTGGGATATTCCCTCGTGACCTGCGCTATGATCACGTGAGCGGATCATCCGCTCCAGGGCCCTTCTACGTCTGTAGTCATGTTGGTTCAAAGCCTAGCCCAAAACCAGGTATTCACAACCCCATAAATTTGATCAAATTACTATTGCTAGCTTCCCTAGTATCACTATCAAACTGCGGATCAACGACAGATGTCTACTTCTCCTCCTCATGAGCATGCTTTTGAAGGAACAAAGCTTTCATCGAAGGATAGGTGCGCACTTCAAGATCATCGGAGAAAACAGAAGTTCCCTCCTTGTTACCAAGTTCGTAACGAATGGACTGTGCTGTCTTTCCCTGGACACGTTTAACAAACCAAATTGCATGGACCCAATCAATAGAGACTTCGAAGCCCTCTCCTTGGTCATGAATCAAAATTGTCGCGCCATCTTCACTGTCGAAGCGATGAGCAATGTTGATTCGTTCCTCCTCACCCCATGATCCACCGATCTTGGCATTGAAAATAATTTGACCTTGAGCTCGGCGAATGGAGATATGGAAGATGGTGTCATTGTCTGCATCCATGATTGAAATCTGGGTCATGTCAAGGCCATCGTCAGGTTTGACAGGATCCACGCTTGAAGACTCGAGAAGAATGACGCTGTCTGCCTTGAGAGTCTGCTGGAATCGAAGACTGCCATGGAGTGGTAGGTTCGCTCTTGGTCGTTTCGGACTGATTGGAGTTAGCGATCATGTTCTCATGTCTATCCCTTCATTTGTGGGGTTGGGAGCTTACCGAGGAGCTGGTGGGTCAATCTTCGCCTGCTTCAGCTCTGGATCCAGCGCTCCATCAGCACCGCCAGTGATAGTAGGCTCTTTCTTGAAGTTTTCAAAGGCCGGCGCAATAGCGGGGTTGGTGAAGTGCTTGGTGTCATTGCTGCTGCCAATGATTTCTAGCTCCAGCTTCTCAACGTCGTAGCGGGGTAATTCTTTCTCATTCTGCGAACGGTCAGCGATTTACACACAAGGGAGGGTGAGAGTCAATGGTTAGGGTTTGCTTGCCTTGAATACCCGCCAGTATGCGCGCTTTCTGATATACGCCAAAACCTCGTCGCGAGTCAACGACTTCAGTTTCCGTCCACCCCGGATAAGCTTGTAGAGAACCGGGGTAATTGGGATGTAAGCAGTTGACTTGACACGCAATTCTTGTCCCTTTGTGCAGTTCCCGCAGACCGACGAACCATCTAACTCGGGCTTTTGGCTGAAGTTGTACACCTCAGCGATCAAGTCTGTCAGTGGGGTTTGAATGCCGTCCTCTTGGGCGAGATACAATTTGACCCAGAAAGGTCGGCCCCCCAATGCATATCTGAATTATTTAGAATGATTAGCTAACTATCACTTCTTGTTGTAACATAATATTTCCTGAAGGGCAACTTACTTCAAGAAGCGAACACTGAAGGCAAAGTCGGGAATTTTGAGCCCACCGTCAATTGCCTCAACGCCCTCCGGGGTTGGAGTTTTGGGATCCAATGCCAAATCACGCGACACACCATACAATGTATTAATGATGGTGGTGATATTTTCCTTGAACAGAACTTGGTTGAGTGTTCCATCCTCCTGATGGTATCTAGTCTCCCATCGTGGCAGTTCTGGATAGGAATATCCTAGATTGGGAGGAAATCTAATTCCTTCAGGGGTCCAGTAATTACCCTCAGCATCACGCCTAAATGGCTGAAGAGGCGTGTTTCCATTCACGGGGTGCTCTTTGCCAAATGAATCACGGATGGTAGTGTTGTCGGGAGGAATGTTATCCATCCACTTGTCCGGGTTGAGAGCTTGCCAAATAGCGAATAGACGATCGATGTTGCTGCGAAAGAAACTGTTAATCGGAGTTTCACTTCTAGCTGGTCAAAAAGGGTATACTTACCAGTGATGCAAGAAGAACAACGGATCAAAAGAGGCAACTGGTACATTTCCCATATGTCCTGCAGAACCTGTCCACCCGTGACTGTGGAACACTATTGTTAGTGCTTGAAGCGACTGAGAATACCATACAGCAGACGTCGACATGGAAATCCCCCTGCGATGACACTATAGCGGCGATGAAGTACTTACATATTGTTGTGGATCTATTCGTGCGAATTTCCGGTTAGTTCTTGTGCTGTGTCGTGATGTATCAAATGAAATTATACTCACATATTCTATGTTCAAGTCCTCATCAACGTTTTGATCTTTCGAGGTGGGATTGGTGCTTGCAAAGGTAGTATAATCCATGGGCACATTAAGCAGTCGATAGACCATTTCAGCCGCAGGACCATGATTCTTGTCATTGTATCCTTCGTGGGAGTTGAAGGCATCTGCCACTTTGCGGTTGTTGACTACACCGTGTCGCCAGCCCTCACTGTTTGGATCCTGGTCCTCTTCATCCGGCCAACGGCTGGTTCCGATCGCATTGCCGAACTAGTCGAGTTAGCTCGTTTGTTTCCACTTGGCCTAGATCTTACGTATACGTACATTCTTGTACTCTTCCTGTTCGCTGTCGTTTTCCCATGTGTTTTCAGTACCGACGCCCTCGCTTCGCATCGGCTTGTCTGTGGGCATGCGAAACTGAAACAGAGGATTGTTGATTCGAATCGATCCGCCCTCCGGTCTAGCAACAGTGATAGTAGGGTATTTTGCCAAGTCAGGGACGCGACCGTTTCGTGCCCAATCCCAGAAGGGAAGACGCCACGACTCGGCCTGTTCGTGCCATGAAGCTTGATGGGCCTCCGGAAATTGAGGGATAATCTCCTTGATCATGATATCATACACGACTTGCTAGAATGGAATCAGTATTACCCAGTTTGTCTCAGATAAAGAGGTCCTCCTACTTCAAAAAGCAGCACGTACGGCCGGTGCCAAATTGGGAATATCACATGAGAGTGGAAGCAGTAGCCATTTTTCATGGGCTCTGGGCTAGGATCATCCCATCGCACAAAGGGTTGTCCATGAATACCTGATCAGAAGCGTGTCAAATACCGTAAACAAAAACCCATAAATTAAGGGCAGGACTTACCAGCCACTTGAAAGTACGAGAGTCTTTCTTCAGGGTCCAACTTCTGGAAATTGTCCAGAGCTAGGATGAAAAGATCAACTTGCTTTTTGTTCGACTTCTTGCCACTCCATTCGTCGATATCCTGCCGGACAAAGACCTTGCGGTTGATGCCATCATCAGGATTAGAATCTTTGGCCGGAAACCGGGCTTGGATCTGGTAGTACTCGTGCGCAGATGATTCAGATGCCATTCTATCTGGTGTTGAGATGATTGAAATGGTTGAAGTAATACTTCGTTTGGAAGAACTTTTTCTCAATCGCCCGAAGAGGTGCATTCGAACTTAGGGAAAGCTTTACTTGGAGGACCGGATCGAAGTGAGTGTTTTATATTATTTCCTTCACGCCTTGCGATGGTAGCACAGCAGTCAGGAACTACATAAAAAGGAATTATTGATCGACATCGAATGGGACTTTGGACCCATCAGAACATGCTGGTTCATGTGCTGTCTTGTCACATTTAATGCAAGCCTCGCATCAGAGCATAGCCCAGCTCATGAGTGACAACGCCTCTTACAACCCCTCGTGCAGCGAGAGGAAATTATTAGCGACCAAACAAGACAGGTATTCGTTCCCCGCCAAAATTAATTCTCTGATGCAGTCAGCTTCACAATTACCACATATAGCTATATACAGCTTTGACCTCAACCCCGAGAGAGAGAGAAAGAGAGAGGGGGGGCTTGATGGTGTTCTGAGCCATCACCAACCAACTGTTATACGGGATTTTCATTTGGCCTGCATGCTGGCTTGGAAATTAACACAAACTGGAATTCATTGAATTATTTCAGCTATCTCAGCTAGCCATATGGCTTAAGTATTGTAATTCAACACCTCAGCTACGCCAACTCCTGTCAAACGAGTGGCGACTTTGGGTGGACTCGGTCAATTTTGCTACGGCATCGTTTGCGCCAGCCGCACTCAATAACTAACTGTAACCTGGGTTCTCGAGGCCCAGCGGTCGATTTGCGTTTATGTTTTCCTTTCTTTTCTGGCACTAAATTGGGGAAACAAGGAACAATGCTAACATAAATGTATATATATAGTTTTAGCCAACCACTTAGCAGGATCGTCATACAATACCTGTTCTCGCATTGCCCTAATCTCCTTCGGTGAAAATCACATCCCCTCAAGCGTGCAATTTGTATGCTCCCCTAGACTTGGCGGCGATCGTCGAAGTTGAGTGTCTCACTAAACTTGACAGGTTCCTAAATGATTGCCTGTATTAGTGTATGTAGAGTCAGGCCATGATGAGGAACAAATCTAGTACTCCGATCTTCTCAGACACTGACGATTTGTGAGGAAGACTGTAGACCATATCCCTCACATTTGTTTGTGGGTGTGAGAACACTTCTTCTATCGTGTTCACAGGTCCGTATGGCAATCCACTACCCTCTAAGACAGCCAGCCAGGCTTCCGTCGCCTTAGCATTTATGATTGGTTCATGCATACCTTTTAGCTCGGCCCTATTTTGGACACGAGGGCTGTTGTCAACAAACCGTGGGTCAGTCGGCAAGCCCGATGGCTTCATCAAATGGCGAAGGCTTTGAAACTGGCGGGTGTCCGTAGTGCCCATAACCAAGTGGCCGTCCTGTGTATTGATAGCTTGATAAGGGACAATACTTGGATGCTCTGTACCCCAATGCTTCGCATGTTCGCCAGCATTCAGCCAGGACATTGCCACATCAGAAGGCAACCATACCTGGCTCTCAAATAAGGATGCATCAATTCTCTGGCCACGACCTGTATCCCTGCAAGCATAAAATGCAGCCACAATTGCCCCGTGCAGGTACAGATCGGTGCTCATACCGGTGAGACCGAGACCAGGTCATGTTGGGGGTCCGTCGCGCTCGCCAGTGATTGCGTAGCATGCCTGCTTCGGCTGCGGCAATGGCGTCGCAACCTGCACGATGTGAATATGGACCACTGGCGCCGTATCCTACTGGTATTGAAGTCAGAAATACACCGTGCTTACAGTGGAAATGAATCAATGGTGATAGAGCACTGACCAGAGACGCTTGCATGTATGATCAGTGGATTGGTTTCTCGTAGCTTTTCATATCCAATGCCCATCTTAACCATCTTTCCTGGAACAAAGTTTTCTACTCCGTGATAAATTTAGTACGGGAAATTGTTGAATTAAGATTGAGTGAGATTACTGACGCCATAAGTCGAAAACGTATCTCCCGGTCTTGGTCCTGTTTGAGGTTCAAGGTGATAGGCATCTTTTCCGATTGATCGCGCCAAAATATGCAGACATGTCTTTGCCCGTGGGTTTCCAAATATCTTTCTCTGTTGCCGTTCGCCACGGGCGAGTGCCATCCTGTGTACCTGGTGAGTATCAAATCTACCACAAATAGGACCAAAGAAAGATAGCCAAGGACATACACCCCCTGTGGGATTCTCAGCCTTGAGAACCTCGGCCCCATAATAAGCGAGAATCTGTGTACAAAATGGTCCCTAGGATGTTTCAGGCATTGATCACTTCCATACTTGTACGAATATCAGAAACTCACCGCTAGAACATGTGTCAGATCAAGAATTCGAATCCCGACAAGGGACCATTAGCATGTGGTGAAGCGTGATTGCAACGGAATTGAGAATCTCCCAAATATGAAGCTGAATGGATACCATTTTCGCGATGCTCCAAGGCTTGTGTGGTAGTCCTAACCAAGGGACAGCCTTTGAAAATTCTAGTAGTTGTCATATCTGCTCTTTTTAATGTAGCACCAAAAGTAAAAAATAAAGAAATGTTACTTCCAAGTGATGAGTTTACCCCCGTATATGGCCAACGACGATCTATAACAATATCCCCGCTTTCAAGGCCATGGAGATGCTCCACATTAAATAGGGCATTAGATGGGGTAGATTGCCGAAGTAATATTCTAGCAAAGCACGAAATTCACCGATTAAACGCTCGGATCATGACAATATCTACTGAAAGTGATGTCAGGCCTTGTACAGTTATGGTTTGATTGAAGACGTTGCAAAATCACAGCATTCAGTATGATTTCGGGAGACCAAGCACCCATTCCCCTATGTAGTTCAAAATCATTTAAAACCCTTCGTTTTCTTCTCCTACGCGGTCTTCCATTGAGACATGCCAGTTATCGAAGAAAAGGGAGTTGGTGTCAACCGGCCGAGAGCGAAGTACCGAGAACTAGGGGCTCAAAGACGAAAGCACTTTTTTGATTCGTATCCAATGCACATGGAATATCAAGTGCAACCTGATGGTTGAAGTTAGTTGCAAGTGGAATTGTGAGAATCTCATCCATAGACCGTGTCTTAGACAATAAACTACCTAGCCATCCCATAGTTATATAACTACATCGATTTACATGCACCTAGGCACTATTTGCCGTTTCACAATGAAAGTCCCTTGGCTGATACTCATGTTGGGAGTATTAGCCTGCAATAAGTCTTATTTACGGGGTTGGGAAGAAATCTTTAGCAATTTAAATAGGCTATATGAGAACTATTATACATATGTATATAGTCCGAATAAGACCAGGGTATCACACAGTCGGCTTCACGGTCTTTCCAAAGGAAATGAAGGTGATGAGGGGAAAAGGTAACGTACCTCGGAAGCTCGGCTACCAATGAGTTGTTTATATGGACGTAGCCCTGGAAGGTAAATAATGACCCGGTTCAGTAACTTTAAGTTTCACAACTTTTGCTAGATCTTCACGATTCACTATGACATATCAGTCTCAATCTTACGTTTTGGGGGTTGGGATGACCCAGTTCCTGAAGCCGCGTCGCACTCGTGAATGTAAGATTATTCCTTTCCACGTGGTTTCTTGTCGATATAGTACTATGTTGCTCAGTGCTTACCATGTCTCTGTCCTGACAGATCCAGAACTTGGATATGAAGCAGCAGTCAAAGCTCTAATCGATGCACATATCACATACGATGATGTACAGGCAGGTGTGGCCTGCTATTGTTACGGCGACACCACTTCTGGTCAACGGATCATGTACCAGCTAGGAATGACGGGGATCCCAGTCTACAATACAAACAACGCGTGTGCTACTGGATCCACTGGTCTTCATCTTGCACGTACTCTAGTCAAAGGAGGACAGGCAGATTGTGTCCTTGTCGTCGGCTTCGAACAGATGCGCCCGGGTTCAATCAGGAGTGTATGCGACGATCGGCCCAGTCCGTTAGGTCCATCGACCAAAATTATGGAGGACACATTCGGTAAACACCAAAGCCCTCGGAATGCTCAGTACTTTGGAAATGCCGGACAGGAGTACATGGACAAGTAGAGCGCCCGAAGACTTGGATCTCGACTTGGTGCTGACCATGCGAACAGATATGGTGCCAAAGCGGAAGATTTCGCTGAAATTGCTCGGGTGTCGCATGAACACTCCCAGCGAAACCCGTACGCCCAGTTCAGAACTGCATACTCCCTGGATCAGATTTTGGACCCGAAGACACAGATCTATGGACCCCTGACCAAGCTCCAGTGCTCCCCAACGAGTGATGGCGCCGCAGCGGCCATCATTGTATCCCAACGGTTCTTGGATGCGCGACCTCACCTGAAATCCCAGGCTATTCTGATGGCTGGCCAACAGCTATTGACCGATGGACCAGAGGTATATTCCCGAAGCGCAATAGACCTCGTCGGCTTCAATATGTCGCGCCAAGCCGCCCAGCTGGCAATGCGGGAGGCTGGTGTCAGAGCGAAAGATATCGGGGTTTGCGAGCTGCACGATTGTTTTTCCACCAACGAGCTTCTGTTGCTTGACGCACTTGGGTTTTCGGAGCCAGGAAAAGCCCATGAGATGGTTCTTCGAGGGGACATCACGTATGGAGGTCGCGGCCTAGTTGTCAACCCATCTGGTGGGCTGATCTCAAAAGGTCACCCTCTAGGAGCCACAGGGCTAGCTCAGTGTGCGGAACTCACTTGGCAGCTCCGCGGTTGGGCCAACAATCGTTTGGTCCCTGGCACTGATGTCGCTTTGCAACACAATCTCGGGTTGGGGGGAGCAGTGGTGGTAACGATCTATAAACGAGCCGATGGACAGGTCAGCCGTCCTATTCCTGATGACGATATTAGCAGGGTTTCTGGGTTGGGGTACAACCCCGCAGTGGAAGCTCGGTATATCACACCCCAAGACGGCGAACGCGTCCGTAGCAAAACAAAGCACCACGAGTATCCGCTCCAGGAAACGGCTGAGAAGCTCAAAGCGCGTATGTAAGAAAGATGGATCGATCAGAGCCCGTGGAAAAATCTGAAGATTGGTCGCTACATTGAGGGAACCGGATAGGGAAATTGATAAACCGGGTTCTGGAGATACGGGAAGAGAATAATTAAGGGATGAGGAAAAAGATAGGTTCAAGATGCATCCGTGGATGATTTAGCTAGTGAATAAGGGACTATGAAAGGTGCCGGTGGTGGAGGGGAGAGCAAATTGGCGGCCTCAGGCAGAAATATATGTTCTTTTTCATCAAAATCTACTCCGTACAATAATCTACCAAAGGAGCCAATATTCACTGTCAACATAAAACTTGAGATCTACACTAGTTATTTGACTTATGTTCAAGTATACTCCTTTCCACAGTTCCCCTCTGAATTCAAACTCCAACCACCTCTGCCAACACCCACCCTTTAAGTACATGAATCATAACACTTTTTCTAGATCACAAATTGGCAAATCTGATGCCGGACTTCTGAGCCGTGAAAGTGGAGATCAGATCCATCAGCACTGGCGACAGCACGTCGTATGCCTGCAGTCCGACGGCCTTGAATTTGGCTCTCACTTCATCCATTTCCTTGGGGTGAGAACCCTGTTCAATGATGGATGAGACGAAACCGGCGAATTGTGGTTCCTGCCAGCCCGTTTCATCGGATAACTCCACGTGTACAAAGTCGAGACCCTTAAAAGGATGATCTTTCTCGATGCGTCCGAAGAGGTGCACACCGCAGTCCTTGCAGGCATTGCGTTGAATGGTAGCTTCTTTGTCCACAATCGAAAGTTTCGAGGCATTCGCTGTCACCGACACAGCATCCCGAGGTACAACTCCGACAATAGAGAAGAGAGAACCAGATGGCTTCCAACACTTGGAGCAGCCACAAGCGTGGTTGTGGGCAACATTGCTATTCAAGGTGATCTCGACCTGGTCGGAGGCGCAGCGGCAGTGGAGCTTTCCACCAGAGAAGCTACTGGAGCCTGGTGTGATGCCATTATCGATAAGAGGGTGGAGAGAGGGTGCCATGATGAGAAATAGAAAATGAGGAAGTATTATTGAGTTCAATAAAGAATTCAGAGCGAATGTTAACCCCATTTATATATAATATAAGCCCCAACATCAATCCTCAGATCTCCTCAGATCTCCTCATGAGGGGTAACGGCAACCGGAGCGTTATACCGCAGTATATGAGCACGATAGGTATAGATTGCCTATTGGTGGGGTAGGGGTTCGGATCCTGAATGGGGAAATAATTTCCCATCAACTTAGTCTCGGGATCTATACCGATCTTTTTTATTTTTTTTTCTGAGGGGAAGAAGGGAAATTCATCATGAGGAGTCTGTTGAAATCTCCAATTCTCATATATTATTTTGTATATTGACTGTACTCTGTAATAGTCTTTGGATGTTGAAGATGTCGGTTGATGTTGATGTCCGGGCAGGGCTACAACGAGAGCTGACAAAGATGGCCTTCCCCCGTGATTTTACATAATCCAAGTAAAACCAGGTGATGGGTCGGAATTCTCGGGCAAAATATCCCGTGGACTGCACTCGTGAAATTGTGAAATTGTGAACACTTGAACTCTTCAGTCTATATACAATATATATAGTTATATATATAAAAAATAATGGGCAAGTCCAAAGCAGCCAAGCGCAAGCGCAACGCACAGGTCGACCTCCCACAAAAGCTTCCCAAGGCAGTCCCGGATCTAACACCACCTCCCGATGGCGTACCTCACGAGTCCACACATCTCAATGCCGTCGTCTCGGACGAGGAACTCGACATCACAATCGAGACCCTCACAGCGCTTGCACAATACCCCAGTCTAACAAAGTCGAAGGCATGCAAGGACCTCCGAGTCGCAATCTATGACTTCCGCCAGACATGCACTACAGGTCTCAACACCGCCGGTATGCCGCTTTGTCCCTGCTCTAGGACTCTTAACTAACCAGATGATTCGATAGAGGGCGCCAACTTGACAGCCAGAATAACCGGTGCATTAGTGGACGAGAAATACATTGAAGCTAGGATCTTGCTCGCCGAGATGAGGATTCGGGGGGAACAACCTAAGATCGGAGCGTTGTGTCGCTGGGTACGAGATCTGGACGTCGTCAGCGGCCTCTCCACACAGCCCAAACCACAAGGTCATGTCCCCGTTATGCGCAGTGTGAAGGAAATGGAAATCCTCGGTGTCCTTGATGCCATCCTGCGCGTTAGCACCCCGATTGACACCAACACGGACGCCGTCGACTCAACCAATCCCATCGCCTTCCAATCCATCTGGGACCTACGCCCCTCGACAACACCACTCCCGGTCTACGCCTCAGTCCTCGACAGATCAATCTTGGACGAGGCGCCCAAGTCTCCATCCGCCCTCCGCGTCATCGAACAAACCCCTGGCCCACTCCGCAAACCTCCCAACCACCATCCCGCGATCCTCTATACCACCGCCCCGAATGCCGTCCCATTGGCTCCCGTCGGTCCTTCCATAACATACCACGCACACCCCGCCGTCCCTGGCCTTGGCCTCGCTCTCAATGTGCTTTCCGCCGCTGAATGCAGGGCGATCATCGCTGCTGGTGAGTCTGTCAATTTCCTGCCGGACGCGCCCCTTCGCGAAGATGGAGACATAAGCATTCTGGCCCACAACTTTTACTGGATCATCGACACCACATTCCACGACATGCTTTGGAAGCGAATTTCCCCGTATGTGCCGCCCTCGATCAACGGTCGCATGGTCCGAGGCGTCAATCGACGCTTCCGTGTGTACAGGTACGTGCCCGGAGCTGAATATCGCTGCCACATTGACGGAGCCTGGCCACCGTCGGGTATTCTCCCGGATGACACATACGTGTATGACTCTTCGCCCGAGGAAAAGAAGCAGAGCTCGATGTACACCTTCCTACTATATCTGAACGATGAGTTTGAGGGCGGGGAGACGACGTTCTTCATGCCAGCCCCGCGGGAGGGAACCTTGAATGGATACCCAGTGCGACCTGTGATGGGAGCTGTTGCGATATTCCCACATGGGGAGTCGAATGGGGCCTTGCTACATGAAGGTACAGGGGTGAGGAAGGGGGCAAAATATATTATTCGGACTGACGTAGAGTATGATGTGAAGCCTGGCGAAGTGTGATGATCAAGACATGAACTATGTAGAATTGGCCTTTTGCCATCAAAATGCCATTGAAAAAAAAAAGTCACGGGAAATGAGAGCTATGAAGTGTTAGAAGGTATGTCAATTTTTATATTTCATCTGGGAAGACCGCAATCAAATAGTACTAGACTGATCGAATATCATATTTTGACGTCATGCCACACTGTGTCTTTATAGAATATAGGTAGGATATGGCACTCAACATTCGGAAATGGAGATCTTTTGCTTCTATTGGTTTCATTGCTTTTGTTAACTCGAACTGAGATATTCTGAGAACATGATCGCTTGCGAGAATCGTGTTATTTTATTCATCTTGCTTAGAGAGGATCGCTGGGTATTTCTAGATGCAAATGCTATGTCTCCGAATCCCTGTACATATTGTTTGAAGTACATATTGTTTGAAGTCTGGGTCTCACGCCTTAACCCCTTCACTGAGAATAACGGCATTGGCGGTATTAACGCCACAATTGAAGTTGGATTCGCTCACCTGCGTTGCAGGCCTTTGCATGGCGCGAGCTACACGAGGTGGGTCGAAGATACAGTAAATAACTAGTAACTACCTAGGTTAGGTAACTAGTTAACTAGTTAGTTAGAACAATATTCCCGAGAATACACACAGAATGGCCGAATTTTGTTAAAATGATCAGATTTTCAACTGGGCATACAGTGACTGGACATTCATTATTACATACCTCAGGACCACAATACGAAGCTAGCGGTTAGCTTCATTTCAACCGACGATCCTCAACCTCATCGATCGATCGAACACCCAGAAAAGCGAATTCCCACCTACTTCCCCCCTCCTTTTTAGGCTTTTTAGTTTTTTATTTATTTTTGGTAAGCAGAAGCCAGCTATGCCATCCGAACCTTGCAGTTCGTCAAACCAGCTCTCTGTCCTGCCTGAAAAATGTTCCGGTTATCCATGACTATGCAGACAAACATGTGATACGGCAAATACTTGTTTGGGTAGATCCATTTGACTATTCTATCTTCAGCAATTTTAGCTCTCGAACGTTTAGGTCTCTGATTTTGGTTTTCACCCCACTTAGATAAACAGGGCCGCGTCTGCCACCTGCGATTAACCAACTGCAACCTCATTTTCTATAGTGAATAAGTTCATCATGGAGCGGATTCAGCATAAAGTTCCCAGTGAACCATTTTTGCTTCAGCTCTTTGAGCGTTGGCAGCAATCACCAGATGCTGTAGTGATCAAGGATGCTGCTGAAGGCACACAAGCAACTGGGAGTACTTTCCTACACGATATCTTAACACAAAAAGATTACATCTACAACCGCCTCAATGAAGATACGAAAAAGCGATTGTCCAGTCCAGACGAAAATGACAATGTGTTTATTGGACTGTTGGCAGCAGCCGGATATCACTACGCTGTCTTGTTCTTCGCCATCTATAGCCTGGGTGCTGTCGCAGTGCCTCTTCGTTAGCCTCCCAAGACATTTCATACATTCTATCATTCTATACTCAACTAACCTGGATAGTACCACGGGTCCTCCCTGAAGAAGCCAAATACTTCCTCAGCGTCTGCAACGCCTCTCTCCTCGCATCCTCCCCAACAGCCACAGACCATGCCCAGTCCATATCCACCGTAACCAGCACACCAACCTATACCTACACCCCACCCACCACATGCCAACCAGCCTTCACCCTCTCCTCCAACAGCGAAGAGTGCAACCCAGAAAGAGGCTTCGTCCTACTCTACACCTCCGGTACAACCGGCCCTCCCAAAGGTGTCCTCTACTCGCGTCGCAGCGCCGCGATCGGCCTCCGCACAAAAGCCGAACAACTTGGCCTCACACCCAACGACCTATGGCTGCATCAAATGCCTGCGCACTGGGGTGCTGGATTCGACTTCTTCACTACCTGCGTGTACGCAGGAACGTGTGTCGAGTTCTGTAATGCCGTGTATACGCCCGACTGGTTTTGGGGACGGATTAAGAAGGGCGATGTTACGTGTATGTTTGCGTCGCCGTCGGTGCTGGATGGGTTACTGGAGAGTTTGGGGAAGGAGAGTGGGGAGGAGTATGAGGCTGGGGTTAAGGGGTTAAGGGGGCTGAAATTATTAGCGTCTGGAGCGATGAGGGTTTCGGATAAGGCGAAGGTGGTTTGGAAAGAGTTGAGGGGAGATCGGCCGTTGGTTGTACTTTATTCAGCGACGGAGGTGGCGGGGTTGATTTCGACGACGCATTGGGAGGATGGAGAGGATGTACCAGTTGTAAGTTATTTTGGTGTTTGGTTAGCCTGATACTGATGGTTTAGGATTGCTGTGGAACGCCTCCGTCGAATTTGGAGGTGAAGCTAAGCGAGGAAGGGGAGATATGTATCAGGGGGCCACAGATTATGAAGAGGTCAGTACTTGAAGGTTGAAGAAAGTATACATGGCTGTGTTAACCATCTGCAGATATCTCTCAAGTGATCCTAACGTGATGAACAATATCTACGATAGTGAAGGCTTCTATAAAACCGGCGATGTTGGACGCCTGGAAAATAACCGCGTCTTTGTGCTTGGTCGAGCATCACATGATGGTGATTCTATACACAGCATCCTTATCATAGAATGTATACTGACATGGACCAGTCATCCGCTTCCAAGGCTGGAAGATTTACGCCCCTGAAATTGAAGACGCCCTCCACAAACACCCTGAAGTACTTCATGTCTTAGTCGTCGGCGTTCGAGACCCCAAATTCGACCAGCTAGTCGCTGCTCTCCTGGTTGTCAAGGACGGCGTGGATATAAACTCAGAGCGTCTTAAAATTACAAACCTCCGTCGCTGGCTTGCTCTAGAGCAGGGGGTCCCGATATACAAACTGCCTACTATGCTACGATGTGTCACTGGAAATCCAGATCCGCTTCCTCGGACGGGTTCAGGAAAACCGATCAAGCCCAAGATTCGGGAAATTCTGTTTGCGGATGCAGAGCGCGAGAATGGCAATGTGCAGGCGTGGAATTTGGCAACTGAAGAACCGGAAATTGGGAGGAGAGCTTGGGATTGGGCGGGCGGTGCTGCTAGGTAATGTGTATCTGTTAGGAGAGGTCTCTACGTGGTGGACGTCGAAGTGCATGCTGCAATGTGAGGTTGATTGATTGTCCAAGAAGTTAAGTTACGATGAGACTGAAAAATCCGACAATATCATTCATATCATTGAAGATTATTCGGCTGCTGCTGCTGCGGCCGCTGCATCTAGAGCGTTACAGGTCAAAGTTTTCAGCAATTCCAGATCCTCAACACCAACACTAATCCTCACCAAATGCTCATGAACCCCAAACTGGGCTGCCCATTCTAACTCTTTGAAATGTGCCAGTAGCGTATACGCACAGCATAATGTAAATTTTGCCCCTAGACTAGGCCCTTTGGCGACATGTAATGCATCGTGAAAAGCCTTCGCAGCGGACGGTGTTCTAAATGTTATCGAAAGTAAGAACCCATACCCGGCGCCTGGGCGTTTGAATCGATCGTACACGGATTGTGATGCGATACCCTTTGGATAGAATACTTCAGAGACAGTTTGGTGGGAGCGAAGAATGTTGACGAGGTTTTCTGCATTAGAGCTTGCCTTTCGAACGCGGTTGGCGACATCACGACTATTCTTTTCCATGACGAGGACGTCGAGTGGGAAGTATGGCTCGTTGGGCTGCTGGGAAAAAGCCTGTCGTATCTCATTATACCATGGTGACTTTAGGTTGAGAGCTGTACTACCGCCCATCACATTACACCCACCGCTGAACATCTTAGTGAGACTGGTACAGATGACATCACAGCTGGGGAAGAGAGCGAGGTTGGTAGCGGTTCCGACTGTATCATCAACTACTAGGAGGAATCCATAGCGGGTAGATAATTGGTGGAGATAGTCCAGATCTGCGGAGTTGAGGAGGGGGTTTCCGGGGAATTCGGTGTACAGAGCGTCAATCTTCATTCCATTTTCGAGGTCATTTTCCAGAGCAGTTAGGTTTTGGGAGGATGCATGGCCATATAGGACGCAGTCGATGGCGTGGATCCTGCTTAGGACTTTGAAGGTGTCGACATAGAGGAAGCTGCAGGATGATTTAGTATGCTTGGTTCTATATTATTGGGCTAAACTTACCCGAACACTGCAACCCGGATGTCATTTCTCCCACGCCAGTCTTGAATGGCCTTTGCGCTTTGGCTGATGGCAGACATGCCGGTTGGGTATAGAATCACGTCGCTAGGAGCAACCTTGATAGAGTCTGTACTAAACGATGAAGCGATTCGATCGTGGAGGATAGACATTGCCTTAACCGCCTCTTTCATTGGGATTTCCCTTGGCATGGGGGAATTATACTCCAACCAGTAGACAGCGCATCGGCTGGAAATACCAGATCCAGTGTGTTGCCAGAATGCCTTTGCCTCCAAAGCCAGATCTTCCGGATGGGTGATTAAATAAAGCTCGTCGTAGCTAACACTGTCCTTAGTGAGTGTTTGACTCCGTGAAACCATCTGAATCGATCCAGCTAAAGTAGCATGAAGCACAACACTCTCCGTACTTCCACAGCGCTGCAAGTATGCCTGACATTCCAAAGCCGATCTATGGCCTGCGATCAGAAGCGCACAAACCTCTGATTGATCGATCCGAGCATCCGATAACAATGGATTGGCTTTCTGCAGCAATCGTGATGCAAGCTCACGCACCACATGGGGAATGAAGAATCTCGGATAACCCGTCTTCAGCTGCGCTAGCACAGCAGGGTCTCGACTCGCCCAGCCCAGCGTGTCACGCCAGGTGGGGAGGTAAACACTGATGCCCTTGCATATTCGTCAGCTAAAAACGTGGTGGTGGTGAGGAAGTGATAGCAGGCGTACATAAGGATCTTGATCAGGCAGTGGGTAACCTAGTTTGGGATACGAGGGTGGAGGTTGAGAAGGCATTTCGGTTAGTTGTTGTGTAGTGGGTGAAGATGGGCAAGTGATTGCTCATATACTTTGTATAATTGCTTTTCCATTATCCTGGACTTGACCGGTTGCTGGTCTGTGCAAAAGCTGAGTGTAATGGCCGATCTTGGACAAAGCTAGTGGGTTCTTCGGCGTAAACACGACAGAATCTATTGATGCCCCCACTGGTATCACATTACTAGGCGATACACGGTCCACACAAATGCCCACATGTGCAGCTGAAGGTTCACTGATCGGATGCGACTGGATGCCTTATGTTCCAAAGAATAAAAAAGGTCTTTTGTCCCTGTTATCCAACTCAATTCCTCAATTCTGCCATGTCTTCGGATCCTGATTTCTGGTCGCAATCACTGGCTGCTCCAGTATCTGCACTTCTCCAGAAATGCGAACTCTTCAGTCTCATTTTACCCAGTCTTATAGTGCTCAGGAGGTCAAAACAGTTTAAAGTGGGGGATTTGGTGCCTGAATGCCTTATTTTGTACCACACCGCTCTATACATCGTATTGTAATTATTGTTACACAATATGAAGCTTTTTATCCCATACAAACGGCGACATCTCCATCTTTTTGGACGGTTCACGAGTATCAGAAATGAAGTTTTCATAAGCATACAAATAGACGTATCACCATCTTTTTGGACGCTTTGCAAGTTGCGATTCTGTAAGGATCGCATGGTTTTCAATTGGTTGACTAGCTGCGGCCTATAACTAGGCATTACTCTTAGACAGAAGATACAGGTAAACTGGAAAGTTGTCTATTGCGCTTAGAGAGGAAAGGGAGAGAGAGAGAGAGAACTATCTACAAGTGGGGACTAATGACTAGGAGCAAGCAGGGAGATCACGTGATCTCGCAACAATTACTTAATTACATAATCATGCCAAGTCCTCGCTTAGGTCAACATGTTTGTTGTGCGCTTAGTGTCAGATGGAATGCAGGCTACGCAGAAAAGGATGTTAACCCGAAGGGAATTGATATTGTAGACTCTGGAGAAGAGAGAGAAAACTAGCTACGGTCTAAACATGAGTCCTGTCAGGCAGGATCACATGCAGCCCCACATGTTTGTCACGTGATCTCCAACACTTAGTAATGCACTCTTTTTCTTGAAGACTTGGCTGGTAATAGCCATGTAGGTCATATGACCTGATGCTCTAACAATATTTGACCTTAGTTCCTATCGTCCAACATCAATTGTCTAGAGCTGGCTCGTCGACAACTTTCTTACAGATCCCATTGTTCATGAAATGATGGTGGTCGCGAAAGCCCGCACAGTACTTGATACAAGGAGGCTCATGGCAACAAAGAAAGATTTTCCGCTCGCAGTGGTTGCAGTCAACCCAGACTCGACATCCTTTACGGACTTGGTTGAGTTGCTTTGCCTCCGGTATAACATGGTCACCATTCACACATTGCTTTTGATGACATAGATGAGAAGCATCCTCTCCGGCCCGAGCTTGACGGCCTGTAGCCCATAAGACCACCTGCTGCATAACAGCAAATTTATTTGCACCTTTCCAGGATAGCTGGATATAGCCATTTCGCTTTGTAGGTTTAAGGGATACGAGGCGACACCACCCTTGCGATTCAGAGTCCTTATCGTATTTGTCGATGATAGACTGTGCATATTGTGGATCAAGCATACATCGTTGCCTTAAGGCCTTCTTTAGGTTCATGATTGTGGTTGCGCAGCGGTCTGTGTGAGGATCTAGGAGATCTGATCTCCGCTTGCAGACTTTTCTGTCGAACTTGGTGATGAGCAATCTATGGTAGATTACTACTAAGAGTGGGAGAAAGAAGGAGAAAGATTCTTTTTTGCTAAAACTAATCATGCAGGGGTTTATATACCCTGCAAACCATGTCAACATTGCTCAATTGTAGCAAACAACAAATAGCAAACAAAAGGCTCAGTCTGTAGCAAACAACATGCATGCATGCCTAGGAGTTCAACACACCTGTCAGATGAAATATAGGCTATGTAGGAATGAAAGTTAACCTTAAGGGATTAATATTGTAGACTCTGGAGAGAAAGAAAAGATGTTGGAGTCACGTGACGGCCATGTGGGGCCGCATGTGATCCCGACACATAGGATTTAGGATAATGGTTAGACAGTAGCTAGTTTTTCTTCTCTTCTTTTCTTTCTCTCTAGAGTCTACAATATTAATCCCTTGAGGTTAACATTCATTCCTACATAGCCTGTATTTCATCTGATAGGTTATAAGCCCTTGCTCGTACGACTCCGAGCATCTTTTCGTTGAAATTTTCAACTAATTAGAGTTTTCACTTTCTTTTATAGGACGCGTTTTTCGGCCCGTTCCGTATCTCTACTTTTCGACTAACGATCCTATCGTTAATATTGATTTTTATCGACGATCTTATCGTGAGTTAATATTTTTATTATTCTAATTATCTAGGAAGCTTCGTTTTCCGTAGTTACTTTATTAACGCGACGGACGGTACTAGTACGTATATTATTTCTTTCGATCGAGACCGAAGACGGATACTCGACGTATAGTTAAAATAACTAGTTCCTATGATAATAATAATAACGGAGGAGAAGGTTCTTCGCGTTCTCTCCCCGCTTCTCGCTAGTAATAAAATCCTATTTTTAATAATTAGGGATAGTAATAGTATTAACGTAGTCTTATTAGACGGATACGTATATAAGGGACTAATCTTCTTAAAGTAAAGGAGATTAAGCTTAATAAGGGTATTAAATTAGCTCTTAATAGTAGTAATCTAGTAAGATAGAAACGATAGATTATTAATAGATTAAGTATAACGCGAATCGATTAGGTCGCCGACTATAATCTACCCCGTCCTACCGAATTCGATCCTAATTATAATCTATAAAGATACTAGTCGAAGATTTCTAGTAGATAGATCGAAGGTCTTTTAGATTAGAAGATTATAATAACTCTTAAAGAATATATAAATAGTTTCTTAATTTACGCCGATTATATACTATATAAAGTCGAGTCTATTATTTATAGTACTAGTATTATTAATAATATAAGACGTAAGGTAATTTGTTGGAGTCACGTGACGGCCATGTGGGGCCGCAGGTGATCCTGACCCACAGAACTCAGGATATTGTTAGACAGTAGCTAGTTTTTCTTCTCTTCTTTTCTTTCTCTCCAGAGTCTACAAATCTAATCCTTTGAGGTTAACATTCATTCCTACATAGCCTGCATTCCATCTGACAGGTTATAAGCCCTTGCTCGTACGACTCCGAGCATCTTTTCGTTGAAATTTTCAACCAATCAGAGTTTTCATTTTTCTTTTGTGGGACGCGTTTTTCGGCCCGTTCCGCATCTCCACTTTTCGACTGTCGATCCCATCGTTAACATTGATTTTCATCGACGATCTCATCGTAAGTCAACATTTTCATCATTCTGATTATCTAGGAAGCTTCGTTTTCCGTGGTTACCTTATCGACGCGACGGACGGTACCGCTTCGCGTATTTCTTTCGATCGAGACCGAAGACGGACACTCGACGTATAGTCAAGATAACTAGTTCCTACGATAATAATAATAACGGAGGAGAAGGTTCCTTACGTTTTCTCCCCGCTTCTCGCTAGTAATATAATCCTATTTCTAATAGTTAGGGATAGCAATATTAATAACGTAGTCCTATTAGATAGATACGTATATAGGGGACTAATCTTCCGGAAGTAAAGGAGATTAAGCTTAATAAGGGTATTAAATTGGCTTTTAATAGTAGTAATCTAGTAAGATAGAAACGATAGATTATTAATAGATTAAGTATAGCGCGAATCGATTAGGTCGCCGACTATAATCTTCCTCGTCCTACCGAATTCGATCCCGATTACGATCTATAGAGATACTAGTCGAAGATTTCTAGTAGATAGATTGAAGGTCTTCTAGATTAGAAGATTATTATAACTCTTAAAGGATATATAAATAGTTTCCCGATTTACGCCGATTATATACTACGTAAAGTCGAGTCTATTGTTCGTAATACTAGTATTATTAATAATATAAGACATAAGGTAATTAAATTCGACGAGATAAAGAGATCATACTTTAGTTCTACTAAGGACTATATTAATACCTACTAGACCTAATATAACTAGCTTAGTATATATAAAGTCGAACCTTACCTATTCGGAGCGTTATTTATAATACTTCGACAACTAGAAGGTAAACTTAAATCGGTAACGTTTACCTACGAGACTTTAAAAGATAAGATACTAGATTCCGTTATAAAGGAGGTTTTTAGCGATATATATAAGGTATTAACGATTGAAGCACGCGATATTCCTACTTCGTTATCGTTCGACCTAGAAGCTTCTACTAACGTCGCGCGGAATAATAATAATAATAATTAACGCGGAGGTAGAATAAGAGGTCGAGGCCGTAGTAGCAAAGGTCGTAGAGGTAGTTTATATAACTCTAGATCGGATAATAATAATAAGGATAATCAAAATAATTAAAAGGAATAGTATTAAGGTACGAAGAATACGCCGCCTAAGGGCAAGTCAATTAATAAATAGGCGGAATAGTAGCGTAATTAATAGCTATAGTATATAAATAGTTTAGAATATACTTATTATAGATATACTAGATATCCTACTAAGATATATTTCTACCTAATAGAGGATCTACCTATAGAGGGATAGAAGCCGCGTAGTAATACTTAGTACTATATAATTATACGTAAAGGGAAAGGTAAGGCTAGTATTGCTTATATTAATATAGCTCGTTCTTCGGAGGACAACTAGATGATTAATAATAGTACTTCTAAAACGATCACTAGATATCGTAAGGACTTCTACGAATACTTAATTTATAAGCCTAGTAAGGAGCTATATAGCTATACAAATGCTAATAGTAAGGTCTAATTAGCAATTAGTTATAGTAAGGCGCCGATTTAAATCAAGAATTCGGAAGGTAAGATTAAGATAATTCTTATTAATGCCTACTATAATACGGTAACTACTAATCGTCTACTTTTATCTAATACTCTTAAAGCGGATTACGGTATCTATTATGATTTAATTATTTCGAAACTAGTTTATAAGAATAGGGAGGAAGTTAGATTAGTAAAACAGTTTAATAGTTTACCCTAGATTGATAGCCTACTCTATTAGGGAGTGATTCTAGAGAAGATATAATAATCTTCTATTTAAACGACTTACTTCTATAAACCGAATTCTTCTAATTTAGACTCGGATTTAGATAAAGAGTTTAATCGAATTAATAAGTCTATTTCGACTTACGAAATTTATCGTTGACTTAGTTATATAGGAAGACTATATATTAAAGCTTCTCTTTCTAATATTATTCTTCTAAAGGAAGGAGACTAGGTTGAACTTTATAATTTTAACTATAAAGCTTATTAACTTAGTAAAGCTAAGAAGTAGATTTCTTAGGATATATAACGTCGTATAGAGAAGCTAGGTATAAAGTTTTATACGGATATATAAATTATAAACCTACCTAGACCTTATAGTAAATGTTATTAGGTGCTAATTGTCGATAACTATACTCGATATACCGAAGGACTATACTTTCGAACTAAGGAGGAGATTATACTTTATATAATTACTTTCTATAAGAGATAGAAGATTCTTTATAGACGATACCTAGCTTTCTAGCGGATTAACGGAGGAACTAAATTCTATAAGTTCTAGATATAGGTAGAGGAAGAAGGTATGGTTTTTAAAATCACGCCTATCTATATACCTAAACCGAATGGCGTTATAAAGCGTATAGGTAGTTATATTAACTAGATTTAACGTATAATAAATATAGACGCTAAGCTTCCTAAATAGCTTTAGCCTTACCGAGTAGATATTATAATTTATATTTATAATTGTTTAGTTAATCTAAAGACTACGAAGATACCGATTATCTCCTAGTAGGAGGGCCTTAGTCTTAGTAAGACGAAGGTTAATTTAAAATATCTTCGTATATAGGGTACTATCGTATTTATCTATATTCCGAGGGAGATACGTATTTAATTAGAGAAATTAGCTACTCGTATATTTAGAGGATACCTAGTTAGTTATAAAGGTAAGAATAGTTATATCTTTAAGATATAGAATCCTACTTCGAAGGAGATTGTTCGTTTATAGGACGTTACTTTTCCCGATAAACTTAATCTTAACTCTTCTCGATCGGATAACGATCTAAAGGAGGGTATTTTAGCTAGAAAGCCGGTATCTAAGGATCCTAATTTAGATAATAACGCCGGGGTATTTTATAAAGAAGGTAGTCCGTATATTCTAGATTTTACAATTAAGAAAGGCAAATAACCTTACGAAGGTCCGAAGGTTATAATTAGACTAAAGCTAGTTCCGTAGGTTTCTATTACTAGTAGACAGCTAGAGGTAGTAATTTAGGTTTTAAGACCTATAATTTAATAGAAGTAAGCTTCCGTAGGTCTAGATATACCAGGAAGAGTATAGACTATACTACCTATATTAAAGCCGTTAACTAGAATATAAGAGATCGAAGATTAATCTCTATTTTAATAACCGAATTTCCGGAAGTAAGTTAAACCGGCTTACCTTCTACCGCTAAAGAGGTAGGTTATTTAGTAGCTAATTTATTAGTTAGTTCCTTAGTTAATACGTCGACGTCTAGTTCTTTAACTATAGGTTTATAAGACAATTCGACGTTATATAGTTAATTATATAGACGGTAGA